TCTGGACGCAGTCAAGAAGCTGGGATTGAGCACCATCAAGCATCCTCAACCTTACACCCTGCATTGGTTGAATGACTATGGGAATATCAAAGTCAACAAGAAGGCTAAGGTTTGCTTTCATATAGGTGATTATACAGATGAAATTTGGTGTGATGTTGCTCCAATGCAGGTTGCTCATCTCTTATTGGGTCGTCCATGGCAATTTGACCGGGAGGTTATTCATAATGGAAGACACAATAGCTACCGTTTCAAGAAAGGAGATAGGAAGTTTCTACTGAATCCATTGTCACCAGCTGAGGTCCAAGAAGATCAACAACAATTGGCAATTAGTTGGGCCATGGAGAAAGGGAGTGCAAGTGGCTCGAAGTCTGAGGACAGAATTCGAAATCATCTCATTGCTCGAAGGAACATGTTGACTGCACTAAGGAGAATTTCATTTAGAAATTCATTTGATTTTGTCTCTTGCAGTAAAGCACAAACTTTGAGGGCAAAGCTTCTTCAACGAGGAGGGAATGATGTGATCCTCCAGAGCGATCCAAAACCCCTCATTGGAGTCACCAGCATTGGAGTCCAAGAAGAAGGGTCCAACTCAGCAGAAGGAAGAAAGGAATTACTTGAGGACTAAGTCATTGCTTTTGGGCAGATTCTTGGAAGATTCTAGCTTCATTTCTTTTCCCTTTTAGGCGGATCCTTGCTTTATTTCATTTCCCTTTTGGGTAGATTATTAATTTATTTTCTTTCCATTTTGGTATTTCTTTCCCTTTTGGGTAGATACATTATTTAGTAACCTCTATAAATAGAGGAGGAATTGCTTATGAGTGGGGCAGACTTTGATGACTATTGATATTTCCTTGTTCTTTGAGCTTTAGGCTTGAGAATTTTCTGCTTTGTATCAATCAAGTTTTCCCCTTGATCGTGGTCAAGCTTCTACCCTATATTGATAGAGCCTTCTCCCGATTTCGTGTTGAGATTGCACTTTCAATTCCATACTGTCCCAAAACAAACAAAACCCCCTAAAAATCTCTTTTCCTGTTTGTCTTGGAGCTCCGTTACTTTGATAACTACGGGTACCGGGTCCGTGCTTGTATCAGAAACTTATTTATTAATTAATTATTAAAATAAACCAAAATCATAGTTGGTTGTTTCTTCTTACCAATCATTAATGACACTTTATTTATAGTGCTTGTCACTCTTATTCTTGATATATTTTCCCCTTCTTTCAGATTTGCAGAACTCGCCCTCTCGCATCTTCATACCGCACAAATTAATCCATAGGTTTTGTCGGAGGTTGGAGAAGGGGAGAGAGAGTGACGGTAAGTGAAAGAATAGAGTGATTGAATTTGCATGAAAGAGAGCGATTGGATTTTGCAATTGGATTTATGAGAATCATAGCGGGTTTGAAGGTCGTGTATCGATGATATGGAACAAAGGGGGATAGGAGAGGAGAGATTCCAGCGAAATTGTGGGCCAAGAGGTTTTGCACTTGAATGTATTTGGTGTTATGATAAATGTTTTTTTGTCATGCTCGACAACCGATCTACAATTGAAGCTATGTTGCCTTCATCTCATGCCACTACCTAGTTCAATCCTGACGTTGTTTCACTTTTGTTTGGTTGAAGCCTTGGTCGTTCTGCCATGCAAGAGGACTGCGATTTTTTTGCAACGACGATGGAGGATGGGGGAGATGTTCCAGCTTCTCGAAACACGCCGCCACCTTTGTCAGTCGTTGGAAGGAAGAAGACAAGGAGGAAGAAGGGTTTAGGGTGTACCTTTGTTTTAATTTTATTTACTTTAGTGAACTAACATGGTTGTACATGTGGATTGATGTGTCTATTAGGTGTACCTTTGTTAATTTTTTTATTAGAGTTAACAGATAATGGCTATTAATGTGCAATGATTAAAAAAAATTGGCTATTTTTTGTATATTGATTGGCTGGGCTATTATTATGCAAAAATGAAAAGGTTTGGTTAATGTAAACTGGAAGGGCCAGTCTCCGAGGGAGATTTTTACGGAGCTAGGGAGATTTTGGCGATTTTCGTACGTTGGTGACGTCTAACGTTTGCATGGCGACGACAAAGGCGTCATCGCTGCCGGCTAAAGGGAATAAGTCGCCGGATAACTTATGCGGCAGTAGGCGGCATGCAGATACATCCTCTTTACCGAATAATAAGACGGTAATGGAATCAACTCAGGCTAAGAAGCACCCTCGCGCGATTAATCTGGACCATGAGGGGTTAGGTTTGGGTGGTATCAACATATGACGGAGATGGAGATGGAAGATGAGGCCAATACAAACGAGGGCACTCGGCCATCAGCATGGGCTGGCGAAGGCGACTGAAAGCTATTTGGTACCACAGCACCGAGAGACATCTGGTTTGTGGCTCAGTCGGATATGGAGGATACTCTCCAAGTGGAGAAGGAAAAGGATGATGTGTGATGAGCAAGAGAACAACCCTAACTGCCCGACCATTCCCTTACCGATGACAGAGAAGATCCGTTGGAGGCGTGAGTGGCAATTTGCGCTTGTGGTGAAGGTTTTGGGATGGCGAGTTTCGTTTCTTCCTCTTTCCCGCCGGCTGAACAGTTTATGGGGGAAACATGGGGAACTTTAAATCTCGGACATGAAGAATGGCTGCTTCTTGGTGTGATTATGACACCAAGATGATTATGATTTTGTGATTAATGTGGGACCTTGACTTCTAGGTGATACCTACCTCACGGTGACACGTTGGTACAAAGGTTTCAACCCTTGGAGGTCAGAGATAACATTAGCGATGGTTTGGACGTAGATCCCCGATCTTCTTATTGAGTTTATTAACAAAGAAGCGGTCATGAAGATCGTGACCTATATTGGAAAGCCTATTCGGGTTGATAGGGCAACCGAATTTGGTGAACGTGGTAAATATGCTCGCGTAAGCGTCGAGGTCGATTTCAGTAGGCCTCTATTGTCTTAGTTCAAGATTGAAGGGGAAGAATATCTGATACAATGTGAAGGGATGGACAACTTGTGTACTTACTGTGGGAGATACGGCAAACCAACGCAAATGTGTAGCTGCAAGGCCATGCATCATGAGGAGACCCCCACACACCAGAAATGGTGCCTGAAACATAATTGAAACCCTGAACTAAGGGCCAGGTCAATAGTGAATGGATGATTGTTCAAAAACATTACCGCCGAGTCCAGAGGCCTACTGCCCCGATGAAAACTCATATGAATCACTTGAAGCTGAGAGAGAGTAATTATGGGGACAAGAATAAACTTAATGTGCTACAAGAGGAAGACACCATGGAGGCATAACTGATTTTGAGGCAGGCTACCAAAATTGTGTCGCAGAATTCTCCAACAGTGGAAGTTGTAACGATGAAAGAGCATAAGCATAAGGAGAGAAGTGATGGGATCACAGGGGGTAAGAATAAGGGTCATAAGGAGGTGAGTAAGGAAAAGGTAGGAGCCATAATGAAGGGTGGGCAAGGCCTGGGAGTAAAACAAGTTCCGACGGCGAATAAATAACCGAAGAAAGTCGTACAAGAAGTGAGAAGGGAAGATAAACAGCACAAAACAAGACAAGCTGAAAATCAAGTGCAAGGATCTGAAAAACATAATGGTGGGGGGAACCTATACCCTTCTGGTCATTAATGCGAATATTGAGTTATAACTCCCGAGGTTTGGAGATACATGTGCAGTTAAGTCGTTGAAGTTGCTGGTGCGACAGTTTTCCCCGTAGCTGGTTTTCCTAATGGAGACTAAGCAACCAAAAGCTGAGAACGAGGAGTTAAGAACGAAATGGATTTTACTCAGGGATAGGTTTGGACGGCGGACCAATCCCGATGAGGAAAAGTAGGAGGGTTAAGCTTGTGGTGGTCGGATGTGGTTACACTGGCTCCCATGTCGGCCTCTCTCCATCACATCGATGTCAAAATTGAGGATGACAAGAATGGGAAAGTAGGAGGGTTAAGCTTGTGGTGGTCTGATGAGGTTACACTGACTCCCATGCCGGCCTCTCTCCATCACGCTGATGCGAAAATTTATATGTGCTCAGTGATTTCTGAAATGGATCAAACATGGGTCCGAATTTGAAGGTTGTCCGTACAGTGGGATGGATGTTGGCTGTGCGGCGGGGACTTCAACCAAGTTCTCTCCAATGAGGAAAAGAGTTCAGGAAATGAAGTGGGAAGCCAACACATGATGGAATTCGCCGACTATCTATCAGATGTGGGGCTGCAGGATATGAGATTCTTGGACTATAATTATACCTGAGAGAACAAAGAGTTGGAAAAGGGATGTTCCCATCGAGCAAGGTTTTGCATTTGGATAAGAGGCGTCCCGATCATAGACCTATCTTATTTAATACTTTAGGCGATGATGATGAGTAACTGAGGTGGGGCTAGTCATTCCGGTTTGAACCTGTGTGGATTCACAATGACTGCTCGAAGATAATTGAGGAAGGCTTGAGGAGCTCACGAGAGTGGTCACACGCAAGGAATAGTTCGCATCCTTAAAGAAGATGGGCACCAGGAATGCTCAAGGAGCCGATGGCTTTTCCACCCTTTTTTATCAAAAATATTGGAACATCATTGGAACTGACGTGTGGAAATTGGTACGTGATATTATTGCAGGTAGTGAGCTGCCTAGGATCTTAACCGTACTCTAATTATGCTGATACCCAATATGAAGGAACCTTCTTCACCAAATGATTTTCGGCCAATTAGCCTATGTAATGTCTTGTACAAGTTGGTGACAAAGTTTCTGGCTAATCAAAATGTAGACCATCTTGGGCAAGATAATTTCCCCAGAGCAGAGTGCTTTCGTTCTAGCGAGATTGATCACGGCAATGTGATGGAAACATTTGAATGTTTCCATTCAATGAAGAAGAAGTCGAAAAGCAAGGTGTGTTTTCTGGCAGCGAAGATAGATATGGAAAAAGCATACGACAGAGTTGAGTGGTACTTCCTTGAAGGTGTGATGCGGTGTATGGGATTCAAGGAGAACTGGATCTCTGTTTTTATGAAGTGTGTGAGCTCTGTCACATATTCCATCCTTGTTAACGGTCATCAATCCCCGAGAATTGTCCCTAGCCGTGGCCTGAGACAGGGAGATCCCCTCTCGCCGTACCTGTTTCTGCTGTGTACGGAGGAACTGTCTTCCTACACGTCCTTAGGAAGAGGATCACCTTTTCTTCACGGATGATAGCAGGGCAGCTTAGAAGAGGATCCATGATTTCCAGGTAACTATTGGGGCTTCGGTTGTGTCTCACCTTTTCTTCACGGATGATAGCTTATTCTTCGTGAGGGAAACGACACGGGGAAGTCAGGAATTGAAGAAGATACTGCACGGTTACGAGAGGGATTCGGGTCAGATGGTACGCTTCCTGAAATCATCTTTCTTCTTCAGCGAGAACGTAAAAATGCATAATAAGCGTGTGGTTAGTGGCATCCTATAGGAATGGAAAGAGTGGAGAAGCATAATAAATATCCAGGACTTGCGACAGTGGCTGGGAGATCCAAAAAAGAACTCTTTAATGAAGTTATGGATCAACTCGGGAAGAGAGGGGTGGAAAGAACGTACCCTGTCTAACGACGTGTCGATAAGGATCTGGGGCGTTAAGTGGGTTCCGAGCTTACCACACCATTTTATCTCCTCGCCTTCAAAGGGTCTCCCAGTGGATTCTGCTATTTCGGAACTGATTGTGGTGGAAAGTGTAACATGGAATATGGAGCTTCTAGGGAGCTCTTTCCCGCCTGAGATAGCTTAGGCAATTACCCAATTCCCATTGCATAGCACAGGGGAGAGGGACGAGCTAATCTGGGGGTCAACGATACAGGCACGTACTCGGTCAATGATGGGTACAGATGCTGGTTCGACAAGTTTCAGGAGGGACTTTGCCTCGTAAAGTACGAGGAAGCAGGAAGAGAATATGAAAATTACAAGTTCCCCCCAAAGTTCGACAATTTGTATGGCGTTTTGCAAGGGACGACAGATTGTCTTAAGTGGTTCAACAACGTACCGAATATGAAAAATGATGCTATTGTTGAGGGGTGGAGTGTACTACTGTGGTTTCTATTGAAAGAACGGAACACCCACTAGTGGAAAGGTGCAAAACTACCTGAAGACACCATTGTAGCGAGGGCGGGTTTCTTCCTATCAGACTACAAGGCTCATCATCAAAAAGAACGGATAGCTACGCATGACCACACAAGCAAGACTTGGTCTCGATCGGAACCAGGGTGGATCTCAATCACGTCGGATGCGGCTACCTTCCCGGATGGTGGAATTGGGTTGGGCGTGGTTGCTCGGGACAGTAATGGTAAATTTTGGCTGGCCGATGCAAAACGTATGATAAGTGGTTGGAGTGTAGAGATAGAGGAGGCCCTGGTTGTCATAACAGGAGCACAGATGATACCATTGCTTCATACCACAAAATTGCTCCTGGAATGGGATAGTATGCAGGTCATAAGTAAGTTAAACTATTCACAGCTGGATCAGAAAGAGATTGGGGTGTTATGTCACAGTATCAGACAGTGTTTGGAATTAACGACTAAGGCTAGCTGGAGACATATTCCTCGCGGAGCTAATGGAGCTGCTCATCTAATGGTCAGGACATTTACCTTGTCGAATGATAGGGTGGTGTGGCTTGATAAACCACCAGATTTTTTGATTGATCAATTAAAACTTGATGATGTAACAGCTGTGCTATGATCAATAAGATTACAAGTTTCCATAAAAAAGGTTTGGTTAATAAATTGTATTTACCATAATCTTAACATGCTATATAACTTTCATTTCAAGTCGTAATTTACTTTTTTCACAGCTAAATCTGATTAATTATGTGATCTTCAAAATGACATCCACTTGAATATATTTTAGAACAAAAAATCGAGACATTTATTAGCAGTCCATACCATGTGATAATGTTTGGCAAAATACATAAAATTATACCACGTGTGATGGAAGCGTAGCATAGGGGTATGCACATACCAGAGTGTAGAATTGTTACATACATTATAGTAGAAATTTATTAACCGTTAATCATCGTATACAACTAGCTACAACCCCATACCAAGGTGGTATAGGGTTAGTATATTTGGTCTTAAAAATTTTTCCTTCATAAACTTGTAGATATATAGATCACAAAGAACTTGTTCCTTACGATCAAAATATTTCAAAATTCGAGTTAAAAACATAGGTGATACCAGCATGGTAACAAGTATTGGTGGTATGTGTTAAGAACCGGTTAATCCAAATAAATCCAGTTGTTGGGAGAGATCCATGTGTGGTACTTAACCACCTCCTTACACGCCCTCTCAAACGAAAGACAACTCATGATCTTGAAGTTTGCACAACGATTAATATGACATGGCATCAGAGCTGGTTTAACCAAATGATCGTGTGTTCGAATCTCCACGACCCTCATTAATTTGCTTTCGTTTGACGATGCGTGTAAAATATGGTATAAGATCCATAATAACCTTCTCCCAACAAATCGAGTTATTGGAATCAACTGGTTTTTAACTGTATAAATATGAATTTCTCAAAATATATTAAATCTGGATATCATATCATAAATTAATTCGTTCTCGACATGTTGCCACTTAAAATCACTCTATGCTGCACCATTTAGTATTGTCATAAAAATAATTGGTTGGAGCAGTTGGTGGCCTAAGCGGCGTCGCCACAATCCATTCGCATCATTGTTACCAAAAACATTGACATTGAGAGAATCGTAACTAAAAAGTAAAAAAAATGTCCAAAATTTCATCATTGCTGACCAATTTGTGGATCACCATTCGACCACGCTCATGATGCATGCGTGAGAATCCATCATATGCAGTCATTATTCGATCGTGATACAGACAAGACAAGACAGACAGGAGCAATTAAAAAAAGAAGGTCAACACTCAAAACAATTTAGTAATGGGAAACATAGACGTTCAACTCCCTGACAACAAGCAGAGCTTTGAAATCAAGCACGATCCTTTTGGCCACCGCATATCCACTAGCGAACCGGAAGACCCCGGTCCCGCCGACAACCGCCATCTCGTTCACAGTCGACGTCGGGGAGATGGGCCCCAGCAGGCAAAGCGAGCTGCCGTTGTACTCCCCGTGGGTGAACCCCAGATTGTACACCATCTCCAAAACGAAGTCGTTTTGGGAAGGGAAGGTGTAGGTTCCCCGACCGTTCCCGACCGGTTTGGAATCCCGCTCGGGGCCCAGAGTCAACGGGTCGTCGGCAACGAAAAGGCCGCCGTAGAAAGTGTTGTTGTCCAGAATTTTGGTGACGGGGATGGCGGTGGCGTTGGGCCCGCCGAAGACGTCGTGCATGTAGAAGTGGAGGTGGGTTATCTTCTCTTCCTTGAGGGCTAGTGCTGCTCGGGAAGATTTTGTGGAGAAGCTATGGGATTCAGCCCAGGAGAAAGTGAGGATTAGGGCTATGGTGAGAATAAGAAGGTAATGGGAAACGAGTAGTTTGGCCATGGGGATGACTAGCTCGGTAGTTAATTAGTTAGCTTTGTTGTGAGATTGGCAATTGGAGAAAATAAGGCTGCCTATTGCAATGGATGGAGTTAATTGGTCTGCACATGTGTTAATTTATAGGCCATTGGGAGACTAATTAATGCTGCAGTTTATTACTTACTCCGTCGACTTACAGTACTTTGGGGTACGCGCGGTTGTGCTTGTTAGTTGAAGTTGTGAACATGGGTTAGGTGCCTAATCAGACAAACGAATCTCTCCATTAGACTAATTAAGCTTCCCTTCACAATTTTACGTATTACCAATGGCCGACAATTGGTTATGTTTCTTGTTTAATTTGGAGAAGCTCGACTAAGGAGTGAAATGTGTACGTTTTAGTATTTTTTTTTAGATGCATGAGAATGAGTTATTTCTTCATGGTATGTGCGTAGTCGATAGCATACCGACGATTCATGCCATCAAAATTCATTTACTATATCGTGCTTTGATTTTTTATGAAACTTGCTCTCGCTATGAGCACAAAAATAGATAATATCTATCATCTATGTACTTTAATTGTTATTCACAAATGTTACTATCAGAGGATGTCAGTATGTTGCTCCACTTGCAATCACGAAACTGATTTGTTGATTGTTTAATTCACTTGACTTTATACTTGTTGTTTTCGTTTGGAATAAATAATGACTAACAAGGGTTGCCGCGGCCCTTAATTGGGCCCAGTGAGTCAGCTCTTTCGAAAGGGCAAAAGTGGTCGGGACTCAGAATACGTTGTTCAATAATAAATAGCGTAATCAAGCCATTAAAAGGTGATATATGCTTAATCGTCAGATAAGTTGGTCAATGGTTTTGCCGTTTTGGTTCTTGTAGTTGTTTCTAGAACGTGAATTAATTTCCATATAAGCTGTACGCATGGACCAACTTCATTAACAACTCAATGCAGTTGTTAATTCTCTATTTAACAATGACCTGATATAATAATAATATAGTTAAGACTTTGTGCTGGATTTACCTGCTCCAACCAAAGAGCCAGCTACTACGCCTGCTACGTACCTACACTGTTATCACGGTGTGATTCAGCGACAATTAAATGACACACGTACGTCGACTCTTATGCTCGTCAATAGAATAGCAAGATTAATGGATTCATCCTAACCATAAACTCCAAATGAAAGTGTAGACACCACTTTTTGTCCGGGTTAAAACATATTTAATCAATTAAAATTTAGTGTCAGTTTAAAATTTGTAATAACAAATCTTGAATGATCTTCTAACTTAAACATAATTGTAGTGCTTGGGTTGGGTCTTGCTTGCCATAATTCAATGAGATTAGCAATAGCTAATCTCAATTGATACAATTCATTAGTGATGACTTGACATGTGAATTAATTGATTCTTAAGACGTTGGGTCTTGTGAGAATTGAATCGCGATTTCGGAAAAAAATCGGAGTCATAACAAAAAATAGGAGTCATAACAATCTTATTAAGACAGCTACAATGCCAAATAATTAAAAACATTATTACAATTAATTACACCATTAATTACACCGCTAATTTGCTATTAGGTCAAACCAATTACAATTGTACAATAAAATAAATTAGCTTGAAGCCCACTCTACACTGGCCCAAATCCGGGTCAACCAAAAGGTCAACATGCCTGCCCAATTTTTAACCCAACTCAGCCTATACCATCCGAACCAAACCGGTTCAATTCAACACAATCCACAACCTACTTAGAAGTAGAGGGCGGCGCCTACCATCACCTCAACGCCACTTAGATTGTGCCAACATGTATGTTTTTTGCTATAAAAAGAGCTCTTCAGCTCTGAAAACAGGGAGAACAAAAAACATTCCCTGAACCTTTTCTTCTCTGTCACTTCCTTCCTTCTGCTGATCGACTCCTTCCTCAAAACTCCAAACAAAAAAAGAGGGGAAAACAACAACAAGAACAACAACAAAAAAAACTTCTTCATTCTTCCTCTTCCCTGGAGAGCTCTTCTTCTTCTTCTTCCTTTCCCCTACCTTGATCTGCTCCTTCTCAACAAAAGCAGGGGCTGAACTTTCTTCTTCATCTTCACCCCTGCACTTCCCTTTCCCCCTATTCCTCTTTAGCCATGATAATCCTAAACAAAAAAAATTAAACAGAGACAGATATTCTCATTCTCATCCCAAAAAGTAAAGAGCAGTAAAGAAGAGCACCTAAAAACCATTCACCTCCGCCCAACTTTCCCAAAGATCATACCCAGATCTTGAGTAAAAAAACCAGCAAGCTGGTAAGAGTAAAAAGAGCAAACTTCCACCTTCTACCTTTCTGTTCTCATAACAAGCTTCCAAGAAAAGGGAAATAAGGAGAAAGCGACTGAAGCAAAGAAGCTACGACAAGTAGAGGCCAAAGAAGGAAACAAACAAACAAACCACCACATCCCAATCACAAGCCAGGGTAGGTCATTCTGATCACTAAAAAACCATCATCATCACCACTTCACGCCCTCCATACTCAAAAACACAGATATATGTCTAAATGTTTTCTGTGTTTATTCCTTTACTTACTAAGCTTGTTAGTTCTACCTTCAGTGCTTTCTATGCTTGTGTTCTTTACTTTCTAAGTTTTTTTTTTGTTTCTACTTTCTATGCTTTCTATGATTTCTATGCTTCCTAAACTTGGTTCTTACTTTCTGCTGCTATATTGTTTTTATTCTCCAAGTATATTAACTAAAGAAACTCATCTTAGAAGTACCCAAGCTTTTCAATCAAAATAAAAAACAGTAAACTCAAACATGTGGTTGTTGGCATCAACCAACCTTTGTTATTTAGTTTATACACTACTATTATATTTAAACATGACACACCTTAAAATACCATATCTTACCAAAGCTTTCTAATCAGTGATTAGGTAATCTAAGTACCTGACAATCCCAAAGTTCTCGTTTTTTTATTAAGCTCAATTAACTAAGGTTTCAAACTTTCAATAAAACAACCAGAAACAAGATTTTAATACCATACAAACAAGAACAGTTTTGGAAAGGTATTTTAAAATACCTTGTTTTTGTTTAGAGGGCTTCCCCTCTATCTTAAACTCATTACCTTAGTTAAAATCTAACACTTAGGTTTTGTTAACCAGTCTAGCAAAAGCTTTAGCTTTGCTAAACCTTTTTGCTTCTTAAGATAATTTAAATCGCTTAAAATCTGTTTTTGCTAAGCCATGTGCTCAAGCAAAAATATGTAGTGATTTCACCTGTGAAGTTCTCGTCCTAAATCTGCAAAATCAAAGAAGTCAGACTTAGAACCCCAAAAATGAAAAAAAAAAAACAAAATAGCAAAAAACACAAAAACACAGAACCTACCTAAGCCTTCGCCGTCGACTTTGGTGTAATCCACGCCGCCGGCGACGGCGACCGCCGCCTCTCCTTTCCTTCTCTCGGCAGAGGCCAAAAACCCAAAAAATCAAAACAAAATAAAACAAGTTAGCTCTCGATTTTAAGTCCCTAAATCAAGTAAAGATGGATATGTGTGTCTGTTTATCTTACCAGAGGGTAAGATCCCCTCGTCACCACCGTGCCCCTAGCCAGAATCAAAAGCTTTTCCCTTGGTTTAGAGTCAACTTCCAAAAAAAAAAACTAGAAATAGGTATAAGACTTCTAAAAGATTAGAACCATCTGAGAGAAATCGAACATGCAAACAGAAAAACGAACCTTTAGGCCTCCCTAGCCGTTGTTCGTCGTCGTTATTGGCCGCGTTTGTTGTCGTTCGCCGCCGGCGACGCCTTTCTTCCTCTCGTTGTTTCCAGAAGTGAGATGAGAGAGAGGGTGTCGGCGGCGATTTCGCTTGGGTGGTTAGGGTTCTGCTGTCTTTTCTTTGAAGGGGAAAGAGACAGGCGAGTGAGAGATGAGAGGGGAGAGAACGGCGCTTAGTTATGCTAGGGTTTCGGTTGGTCTTGGACGAGAGGGACGAGAGGCAGATTGAAAGATTTAGGTCTGGTTAGGGTTTCGTTTGTTCTCTGAGGGAGAAGAGAGAAGAAGAGCCGAGAGACAGAGAGAGAGAGAGAGAGAGAGAGGAGTGGAGGCGGCCGATTAGGGTAGACTGGATTAGGGTTTGATTTTTCGTCCAAAAAATGGATTTATACCCACCCGAGAAAGACCAGTTTACCCTTGGGGTTTTACTCTAATTACACGCCCCTGCCACCGTTTTTCTGAGAATTTACCAAACTGCCCTTCCCCCTTCTTTGCACTAAAACGAGATAAAAAAAATCGTGGTTAGCGTGTTTCGAGTCGTAGTTCTCGGTGTCGAACACTGTCAAGGTCTGGCAACTTAGCCAGTTGGGCTGCTGGCCCATCATGCGTTAATATTATCATCACGTATAATTTTATTTATTTAAAATCCTTAATACGAAATGTTTAGATGCGGATTAAGTTTATCTCGTATTTTGTCCAATACATCGAATTACCTCTCAAATGCTAAAATCTTTGCACAAATATAAATTTAAATTTCATTAACAAAAATTATAATACGAAATTTACTTTCAGTGGAAAGCGATAAAAATTATACCCAAAGCGCATCAAAGTCAAGAACCACGATCGGTGGAACGTGTTTAAAATTATTTCTTAAAACATCAAAGTTTTATTCGAATTACGTGGACTTTGATCCCGGTTAACCCGGGTACGTAGGCAACCGATAGGTTCGAGTCCAACCAACCTAAAACTCTTTCTTTAATTTTGAGAATTATGTTAATAAACGTATGATCAAATTGTATATTAATAAACACCTAATCAATTGAATCTTATGATATATCACACAATAATGCACAAACAATAACACACCCAACCCTTTTAAAACTTATCGATTTAAGTAGTCCCCATTTGGGGCGTTGTGGGGTGTGAATACACTTCCCCACACGTAACCGTACTCCCAAACCCAAAATCTAAAATTCGCAGACCATAATTCTGGTTTTAACAAAAATTAAAACCGGAAAAGGGTGTTCGACCCATCCCAAAGCTTGGTCGATGGCG